GGACCAAGAATCTCTTCATCGTCTTTAACAGGACGAATTGGAACCTTTTTGTCATTAAGTGTCCTCACAACCATTGGAGTACTTAAAGGATTTGCTTTATCCATGTTAGAGCGTTTTAAGATCTTTTCTGTGTAATTTGATTGATGCACAAATATTCCATTATGCATATGTTCAATTCGTAAACCAAGACAATACTTAGTTTTTTCAAGATCTTTCATTTCAAATTCTTCCTTTAAGTATGCAACCATATTATCAATTTCTTCTGTTCCAATGATATTCAAGTCATCAACATAGACAACTATGATAACAAATCCAGATGCTGTTTTCTTAATAAAAACGCATGGACAAATAGCATTATTGGTATATCTCTTATTTGTCAAATAATCACTTAAACGATTATACCACATGCGTCCAGCTGCTTTAACCCATATAATGATCTTTGCAGTTTAATTGAATATATTTCTTTGGGTTTTGTACTTGAAGCTTTAGGCATCTTAAATCCTTCAGGGATTTTCATATAAATATCACTATCAAGTGATCCATACAAATAAATAGTCACAACATCCATGAGAGGCATTTCTAATTTTTCAGAAACTGCTAAGCTGATTAAGAATCTGAACGTAATTGTATTCATAACAGGAGAATATGTTTCATCATAGTCAATTCCAGGTCTTTGTGAAAAACCTTGAGCTATGAGTCTAGCCTTGTATTTGGTGATTTCATTCTTCTCATTTTGTTTTCATACAAAATCCATTTATATCCAACAGGCTTTATATCTTTGGGTGTGAGAATAATGGATCCAAAAACATTTCGTTTATTAAGCGAATCTAATTCAGCTTGCATAGCATCTTTCCACTTTAGCCAATCATGTCTATTTTGACATTCGTGAATTGATTTTGGTTCGGGATCATCACTTCCGTTCATAATTACACATGCAATAGCATAAGAGAAAATCTCATCATTATATTCAATTATATCTCTATTCCAGCACATTTCTGCACTCTTATAATTGATTAAGATTTCTTCATTCACCTTTTTAGTGTTTTCATCAGGAGAATCTTCTTTGCCTTTTAGTTCTTCAGGAACATTTTCATTGACATTATTTTCTGATTTCTTTCTTATTCGGGGATTTTTATCCTTTGAACCAATCAGTCTCCCACGTTTTAGACGTGGTTTAGACTCTTGAGAGACTTTATCCTTATATTTTATTTCTCGAATTTCAATATGAGCAGGAGCATTAACTGCTAGTATATTTGATTTAGTCACTCTTTTTGTATCTGTAAAAGCATCTGGCAATTGATTTGCAATTGCTTGCAAGTGCACAATCTTTTGCACCTCTGTTTCACATTGCTTTGTTCGAGGTTCGAGATACATAAATGATGGTTCATTCCATGCGATATCATTTACTACTTCGTTTCTTTCTCCCCCTAATTTTGGGAAAATAACCTCATTAAATTGACAATCAGCAAAACATGCTGTGAAAACATCACTCGTCAAAGGTTCAAGATATTTTATTATACTAGGTGATTTGAACCCAATATGTATCCCCAATCTTCTTTGGGGACCCATCTTTGTATGTTGTGGTGGTGCAATAGGCATATATACTGCACAGCAAAAACTTTAAGATGTGAAATATTTGGTTCATATCCAAGTGTCAATTGCAGCGGGGAGTATTTATGATCCACACTAGGTCTTATGCGAATTAGTGAAGCTGCATGTAGTATTGCATGACCCCAAATAGAAACAGGTAGTTTTGTTCTCATAATTAATGGTCTAGCAATAAGTTGCAGTCTTTTAATCAATGATTCTGTTAAACCATTTTGTGTATATACATGAGCAACATGATGCTCAACAATAATTTCAGTAGACATAATAATCATTAAATTATTGAGACGTAAATTCACCAGCAGTATGAAGTCTAACATTTTTTATCGTATAATCAGGAAATTGAGCTCGTAGTTTAATGATTTGAGCTAAAAATCTTGCAAAAGCAACATTCCGGGTTGATAATAATCATACATGAGACCATCTACTGGATGCGTCTATTAGAACCATAAAATATCTGAATGGTCCACTTGGTGGATATATTGATCCACATATATCACCTTGAATCCTCTCAAGAAACATAGGTGATTCATTTGGGATTTTCAGTGGTGAAGGTCTCAATATCAATTTTTCAAGAGAACAAGTTGTACATGACAATTTTATTATTTTGAGGGATTCGCATCTAAATATAATGATCCAAAGCAAAGGTACTTATTATTTAATTAAATATGATAATTATAACTTCTCTATTAGAGACTTTACCATAATAACTTTCTAATAATTTATATATTATGAGATTATAAGATTTAAGAAGAAAATAAAATTAGAGTAATTTTCACTCTTTGAACCAAAAGAAGTAGGAGGAAGAAAATGATTCATTCGGTGCATCTTTTTTATTTCATAAACTTGAGTATATATATAAAGAAACTTTGGTAGACAATTGGCCTCATTTTTCTCTCTGTAAAATTAATATACCCAATTTATGGTTGTACTTTTTTGACCTTTTGGTCATTCATTAATTTACAACATTGTCCATATAATTGAAATTGATGATTTTTATTTTTTATTTAATTGGAAAAAAAGCACATGTTCCCTTGTCAGGAGAACTAAAAAAAATTCCTAGATCATGACATATGCGATGTTTATTTTATTTGTATTTGAGACACCCCTTTCGTGTATAGATTCAGATTAGCAGTAGCTAAGGAAATTATAACAAATGTTTCGTGTAAAGATTCAGATTTGCAGTAGCTAAGGAAATTATAACAAATGTTTTTTTTATATATATATCTTTTACTCTTTGGTCGAATAAATATTGAGTGTGGATTCTTTTGAAAATTGAAAATTGATTGTTTTTGTTTTTTTTGGATATTTCATTGATCAATTTGTACCATATATTGCTTACTGCAATAACTTTAACTGATCTTATGTATAATAAAAAGAACTATTATTATTGTTTTTTCCTTTGTTTTCTTAAATTTTCAATGACGGATTAGAAAATCCTACAAAGAAATGGCATATTCATTCGTGAAGATTTGTAAGCATAAATATTGTGCTATATCTATTTTAATAGTTTGATCAATTAGTTGTATTATTATTGTACTTAAAAAAGTTGACTATAAGATTGAAGAGGAAAAGTATTAATTTGTTGTATTATTATTGTACTTATAATTCTGATTAATGAAACAGAATATATTAATTTTATTTTTTTTTACATATATAAGAGTTGTCTATTCATTTTGTTCAATCATCTGCAATTTGTTCTACTTCCCTTGATTTTGGATTACTTCCGATTATTAATTTCACTTGATATCCCATTCATATCCCAATGTCAGAAAAGAGTGAGGATGACCGTGAATGACTACAAAACATTCTAGCTAGCAGCCGCCAATAATAATCCAAATTATACTTTTATATGGCAAAATATTAATTAGTTTGTACTGTCTTATTATGAGGTACCTACCAAAAAGTTTTAAAAGAAAAAAGGAGTATTTGTATTATGCTAATTTGTTGTATTATTGCTCATTTGTTAGAGTATGCCGATTTGCCCTTGTTACAGCTATCTATAAGAAAGTAGGGTATACATAATGTACGATTAAAGATTGTTCTAACATATATAGGTACGATTAATTGATTAATTAAACAGTATAAAACGGTTGAGTAGCTGTTTGTGATGTGGAGGTTAGAATCATTTGAATTTAAAACTTTTTTTTGGGCAGAATAATTTAGACTCGTTGATGATTTCTAAAAGAAAAAAAATTAAATTATGGGGATCTAATATGCTACTTCTTAATTCTTGGGATACAAATTTTATGCTGCCAACCAATTAGAACAATGGTTTTATACTACGGTGGGTGGCGTTGATCAGCTATAGGTTTTAAGAGCCGATGCTTGGTCTATTTGACTCTGTATTGGTGCCAGCTGATCTATCAAATCATTGCGCATGAAGACACATACATACATACATACATACATACATACATATATATATATATATAAGCAGAGATTTAACTCGAAAAAACATTTAGGTTGGAGGAATACTAGATTGTGATAATATGCAGAAGTAAATAATTAAAAACTAAATAAAGTGAGAATCGTAGTGGAACCGATAATTTTGATGACAAAAAAATAAACAAAAGAATAAGATTCCAAATTCTGGAGGTCAGAAAATTAAGATTAGAATTGGAGAAGAAATAAAGAAGGAGAAAAATAGAATTCAAAGGGGAGATTCTGGAAATGGAGAATTTTCCATTAAAAATCCCTTTAATACCGTTAACAATCGATTGGTGAACTATTTAGCTCTATACATCAACTGATACCAAAATTGCACTTCCAGTCATCAATATTATTATAATTATAATTTACTCCTAAAAGCATCGCAAGAAAGCATTCAAGGAAAAAAATGAGCCAGAAACAAATCGGCTGTGTTAGCTACCCTTTTTTTTGGGGGGGGAGGGGGGGGAGGGGGGGTATATAGAACCCTTAAATTTGGGCTCTTGCCCCTTTGAACCCATCAGTCCTATCAATTGATTAATTTTATTTTTTTTTTCTTTTTGGGTAATGTCGCATGATTCTTACAACAACTTGCAAATCACAGTAAAAAATAAATCACCCTAAACAAGTTTAGAGATATGTGATAATGTCTGGTGTGAAATCAAAAGATAATGTATAAATTTATCGTAACAAATGTTTTAAAAGTGTCAATGGGCAAGAGTAGAATTGACTCTCACTCTTGTTAAAGGAGAGAATTGCAGTCAAGACCTCCTTTTGATAAACCAATACCTCGTTCGCAAATTTTTTTTATTCTTGCATCTATTAATTTCTGCATGCATGAAAAAATTGAAAAGGTAAATTTGATCTCACTATTTTGTAAAACCACACTTTCATTTCCTCTCATTAAATTTCAACAACGTGCACAATAATATCAGATTGAGAATATATGTAAGAGGGACACGTGGGTAAAAGTAGAAGATTGTATCCTCGATTCGTAACTTTCATTAAACCGTTACCGGATTCATGAGCAAACAGGAGACTAATATATGTTTCATTTAACTGGGATGTTACAACAAACAATACAATTGCACAGGAAAACTCAAACAAACAGATCTCGAAGAAGAAGACTACACCTAATGAGGAGGGTGTTTTCTTCTATTATTTGGCTCCTAACTTAAGCCGCAAGAAGTAAATCACAAATCTCAGCTCATCATGAAAAGAAGAGAGAAAAAGAAAACGAGACTTAATTTCCAATTACATGATATGAAGCAACGTTGACTTAATTTCATTCGTGGAGGAATTGTCTGAACCAACGGGCTGATAGCTTAGGAAACCTTTCCAAAGTGGTGTAGTTGACAAAGTTGATTCCAAAACGAACTGTGTATGCATTTTGCCACTCAAAATTGTCAATGAGCGACCATCCATAGTATCCTCTGACTTTTACTCCATTCCTGCCACAATGAAAGAAAATAAGAATTATAACCTTTTTTCCGGAAATGAATGTATTTTTCCATTTAAGAACACATGAGAACACTTACTTGATTGCGTTCCGGACGTATTGAAGATGGCGGTAGTAAAATTGGATTCTGAAGCTATCTTGAAGTGATTGCTCAAGAGATAATCTGGGATTATTTACTTCGTCCACCCCTGAAGATAGATTTTTTGTTAGGGTATTATAATTTGGTTAATGTTTAATAATTAATTATCACTTTATTAATTAAAAAAATTAAATAAAAAAAGGCACAAAAGGAGTGTTACCATTCTCTGTAATGTAAATTTCTGGGTCTTTGTAATGTTGCTTTACGTACTCAAGAAGCGACTGAATTCCTGATGGATAAATGTGAAGCCAATCTGAACCAGCCTACGAGACCAAAATTATGAAGATCAGTGAAAAAACTACTTACTAAAAATCAGAAAGCCAACAACATAAAACAGCCCTCTAATTATTTTTGTGAATCGCTTTATGTCCCTCAACTTTTTTTTTTTGTCATTCCATCCTTCCATTTTAAAATTCTCATTTTTCAGTTTCCTTTAATACTTAGGGTTAAAAGTGATAGAAAGCCATTTCTACTGAACACTAACTAAAACAGCAACCCTCAGTATATGTATTTCGTCAGTTTTAAAACCCTTAAAAGAAACGAAAATGATTCACTTAAATTGTTATTTAATTATCAAGTTTAAACAAAAAAAAAATCTTGCAGAAATAAAAAAAAAAAGATTAATTACAGGACCACTTAACATTTTGTTGAAAATTAAATGAAATCTACCTGCTCTCCGATAAGCACTCCGTTACGAGTAGCTGCCAATTCCCAAGAGGAAAACGTCAAGATTATAAGTTTCTTAGCAGTAAATTTATAAGAAAAACCAAAATAGTTTATCGATATTATTAGACAGTGAAATTACCAGAAAGGTCAACATGGTTGTCTGTAATGTATCTAACTTGAGCTGTGTTCGGAGGGGTGGTCGGGCGGGAAGCATACAAGGCAGTGTAGTAGTTCAAGCCGTGGAAATCATAGGATCCGGCGAGTAGTTTGGATTGAGCCGGCGTGAATTTTGGAAGACGTTTGCCAACAATAGCTTTCATTGTCGTTGGGTAATCACCATATACTATAGGATTCACAAACCTAACCAGAAAAAAAAAAAAAAGAAAGAAAGAAAATGAACATTTTGCTTAAAGAAAAATAAATAAATAAAATCGTGCGTGCACGCATTGATACTTACCATCCATACATAAAGTCCAAAGCACGACGGGCAGCACGGGCGTCATATGATGAATTTGTCAAAGGCACCATCCAGATAGCAACGTTTGTCATCCCAATTTTACCCTTTTGCTTAGCCTAATATTTTAAAAAATAAATAAATAAATCTAGTAGATTAATTAAACTAGTCATGGAATTTTTTGGAACATCGGGACATATATACATATATATATGTAATATAATGTAAAAAAATTTTGAATATAAGTACCTGATATTTGGTTCTGTAGAGCTGAACAACATCGGCATGAGCCAAGAGTTGGTAGTGTGTGACAATGTAGGGCTCGGTGGCGGAATCTCCTCCGACGCAGGTCTTGTCTACCCACGGTGAGCATCGGCCGGGGGAAGTCAACCCGCTGTCATAACCAAATTGACTGTAGGTAAATGGCTCGTTGAATGTAATCCAAATTTTAACACGATCACCAAATTCCCTAAAGCACACGTCTGCGAAGTCATGGAAATCTTTTCTGCAAGGTATTAAAACATTTGGTTAGTAATGATCACATAATTAAACAGTACAAGTATATGAAAATATTAAAAATAAAATAAAATTACTTACATGATCTTAGGACTCAAGAAACCCTTGTATTCATCCTCAAGAGCTTGGGGAAGTTCCCAATGGAAAAGAGTTACAGCTGGGGTCAAACCTGGAAATATGAAGCTTGAGTTAATTGCGGTTAAAATAGTAATCCACTTGATGAATAAACAAATTATGATTCAAATGAAGGACATCGTGGATGCATCGTTGCGTTACGTACCATTTTTAAGGAGTTCATTGATGAGGTTGTTGTAATACTGAATTCCCTTCCGGTTTATCCCTTTGCTGACCTTGCCAGCTGCAAACAATAAAAAAATAACAACATGTAATTGATTATTCTTTTTCATATATATATATATATATATATATATATATTGAATTGGGAGTTTATCATCAAGGATTCAAGATCTGGATTTATATGAAATTGTTAATAAATGATAGACTTACTGGGCACAACTCTGGACCAGGAAATAGAGAAACGGTATGAATCGGCATTCATATCCTTCAAAAGTTTCACATCATCCTGTAAAGAGGTGACCAAAAACCAGTCATATTTTTTTCTTTTTCTTTTAATGGGAAGTTGAAGAAATTCTTGACTTCAAGATTTATTATTAAATTTTCTCCTTAAACTTTATTCTTGACTTCAATGATTTTGTATTATTAATTTACTCTAAAATTTCTACTATCCTCATGACTATACTATGACTAACACTAAATCAATAAGGGTTTAAGAAAAAATGGCTTAGTTTATGACTCAAAGGAAACAAAAAATAAATAAATAAAAATACTTGTTTGCTCTGCATAAATATTAACTTTGATAAGTGTTTGGGAAAAGACATTGATTTTTGTCCCATTTACAGTTAATGGGCCAGTAGAAAATGATTTAAAATAAATCCAGCAAGAATCTTCCTTGCTAGTTTTTGCGATAAATTCCAGTAGTAAATTAGTCAAGGTCAAGATCATTATGTGTATATTACTATATGAACTTAGGAACCAAACCAAAAACGCAACTTGTGTATTACCTTGTATCTATGGTAGGAGTCATCTGCTACATCTCCGTTGCTGCGATTTGCAATCTTCTCTGAAATTCACAAGCACGATAAGTATGCTTAGATCTAGAATTAATTATTCTTTCATCAGTTCTATGAAGAAAAAGAACTAGAAATTTTCTTTTTTAGTCTAAATTATTTCAAAGATACAATTATCGAATAAAAAGTATTTCTAAAATTGCTTGTTCTTGAACAAGAAAACACAAATAGGAAAAGTCAACTTGAGGTATAAGTTAATAAAGAGATTTAGACCTGGGTATTTGTGCGTAAAATAATCCCAGTTACTAACACCTTTGCCATCAACATTCCATCCTCCTTCAACCTATATACACACACATTCAAGCCAAACAAATGTTAATTACAATGATTAAATATATGAATTATACCTGATAACACAAAATTATACGAAAATACAGTTAAAATATACCTGGTAAGAAGCGGTAGCTGCCCCAAAGACGAATCCTTTAGGGAAACTACTACGATTCAGCGATTGCAAACCAAATGTAGGGGTCAAAGGGGGAGCATCACGGTTGATCTGGTTTAAGCCAACCCGAAAAATATCAACATTTCCATGTGCTCCATACACATGGAGAACCAAGAGAATCCCCACAAGTAAACGACCTGATAGGAATCCCATATTGGTTGGCTTGGTGAACTAAAATTGTGTTCTATTTTTTGGGTTTGTGCACATTTTATCACCTAGGACATTGGGTTTATATAGGGGAGAATGGGAGAAGGATGTGTATATTAATGTTTGTATTTTAATTGCCCTTTTTTTTAATGTGTAGTAATTTTATAAGTTGATGTACTTCACGTAATCAGTCTTTGCATGCACATGTATATGGATTCGCATCTTAGCTAGTAATGCCAGAGCGGGAAGCTTCGATGTAATAATGACTAAGATGAAGTCAACTATATTATGTATGTGTGTGTGTGTGTTATTAGATGGTTAATTTGTTTATCTATAAAAGGTAAGGATGGAGAATTATGAAGTTATTTTTGCGCGTCAAACCCTTCAAGGAAGGTCTTGAATTTGAGTATTGTGATTTGTGAATGTGGAAATAACAATGCAAGATTAAGATAAGTGTGGCGTACGAAGTTAGCTAAAACATACTTAACCATGCAAGAAATTTCAAGGTTTTGGTGCCTCCTTTCATTGTCATTTGTATATGATATTGTTTGCCCAAAACACACATTAAGTTCTCTCTTTTTTTTTTTTTAGTAGAGTAACAAATCTTTCCAATTTAGCGAAAATATTTATATTGAGTGAATTCTGCTTTCAGCCGCCTTATTTATTTAATACAACATGTTTGAAACTAGTACAGAAATTTTCTAGGTCATTATTATGGGCATTAATTAAGACAATTGTTTTTTCGGCACGAAAACAAGGTTATGACTTATGATCAACAGGTCTTCTATTTACTGTAAAATGCGCGAGGTGAAGGTGAAGAAAAAACTGACGATTCCAACTGTGTGAAGAGAAATTAGTAAAACAACAATGGCTGCTATATGCCGCAAGGTTTTGAAAGAGATTATAATCTTAAATTAAAACATGTCATGTTGCGATAAATAATGTAGGTTGAAATATATGCAAAACAAGACAAAGGAATCTATATGAATTTGGATTATTAGTTGTCTCACTTCTCCACTATGTTTTTAAATACTAATATTTCAGTAAAAAAAAAGTCTCTAGATTTTTTGTACTCGCTTTGTGTGGTCTCTAATTAAGAAGTAAGAACTGCATATAATTATCGTACTACCTCAATTAAACGTTAAATATAATTATTTACGTTTAATGAAGAGGATTGAAGGATAATATATATAGTGAGGGAATATGTGACACTAATTGAACATTTTAGATGGGAGCGATAATTCGCTTAACCAGCCGCCAAAGCTTAACTTACTATTTGGTGTAAGTATTTGTACTGATCATAAAAACACTTCTCAACAGTTTCATTATAATTTCATTACAAATGTAAAGCTAAAGTGAGGCAAAAGATTCGAAAATTCAGTATTATTTGATTACAACCTAATATCATATGTCGTTATACACACAATTTGGGAACTCGAATGTGTAAATCAATATTCTTTTAATCATTTTCTTTCATTGCTTTCTTTTGGTAAGGACGGGAATCTCTCTAGATATAATTGGTAAACCAATATCCACTGTGAAAATTTGTTCATCTCATTGCACCACTGTGCATAGAGCTGGAAAGCCTGAATATATAAACAAATAAACTGAGTACTGAGTAAATATTTTGAACTCTTGGTCCATGTAATTGAAATAGATTGATTATTATTATTGTTATTATTTTTTGGTCTTTTACCGAATATGAACTCATTGAAAAAAACAACACATGGTTAGTTGTCAGGGGAACCTAAAAAAATTCCTAGTTGAGAGCTAAGTGATGATCAAGATATATGTAATGTTTATTTTATTTGTTTTTGAGAAATCCGGCCCTTTGGTGCATAGATTTAGATTAGTAGTCGTTAAGGAAATTATATCAATTTTTTAATATACCTTCTAGTCTTTGGACTAATAATTGAATTTGGGTTCTTTTGCAAAATTTGAAATTGATTTTCTGCCATATTTTACATCAATTTGTAGCGTAAATCGCTTACCTTGCAATGACTTTAGTTGATCGTGTTTTTAATAAAAGAATTATTATTATTACTACTACTACCATTATTATTATTATTCTTATTATGATTATTTTATAATTTTCGATGATGGATTAGAATATCCCACTAAGAAATGGCATATTCGTTCGTGAAAATTTGTAAACACAAATATATACTGTATCTTATTTAACAGTTTAATTTTGTTGTGTTATTTTTATAAAATTAACAAAACAGACTATTAAACTGAAACGGGAGAAGAATTTCTTTTTCCCTTTATCATTTTCGAATTAGCATTTCCGCATCACCAGAAGCTACGACTTCAAAATCTTTCTTCCTTGAAATATATATACTGCTACATCTGTGTAACAATGGCTCATGAACTGTACATTCGTCAATAATGCATTACAATTCTGATTAATGAAACAGAATAACTCCGTTAAATTTTTTTACATATATAAGAATTGTCCATTCATTTTGTTCAATCATCTATAATTTTTTCTACTTCCCTTAATTTTGATTACTTCCGGTTATTATTTTCAACTTTAATGTGGATGTCAGAAAAGAGTGAGGATGACCGTGAATGAGTACAAAACTTCTAGTTAGCAGCCGCAATGTTAATAATCCAAATTATATTTTTTATATGGCGATATATTAATAGTTACTATTGTCTTATTATGAGTACCTACCAAAAAAAAAAGAAAATTCAAAATGAAAAGAGGAAAATTTTTATTATGCCGATTTTCCTTGTTACAGATATTTACAAGAAAGTAGGGCATATATAATGCACGATTAAAGATTGTTTTAACATAATGATGTACGATCAATTGATTCATTAAACAGTGTGAAACGCTTAAGTAGCCGTTGTGATGTGGAGGTTAGAATCATTTCAATTTCATATTATTATTTTTTTTCGGAATAAGTTTTTCTTCTACGTGGACCAAAATAAAGTAATACAGTACTGTTTATTGATTATTATATTATATTATAATAAACCCAAAACAACTTGTGACAAATGTCCCATTCTCGGCGCTTGACTTTTCTAGTTTTACACTTTTACTCGTGTTCAGAATAGTACATATCATTAACAGTAATAACAATCAGCTTTTTCTGATTCATGTTTGAGAAGGAAAAAAATAAAAACTTCATATTTGTTAATTTCAACTATATATAATAAATTGAGGAAAGCTTGTAACTTCCCTCCTTGAATATATATATATATATGTATATATATATATTAAAAAAAAAAGTTGCATATGCATATGAAGTGACAGCAAAATTAAGTGTTGAAATGTTTTAAAATAATTTCATGCACAAATCACGCATCACGATCTTCCAATCTGACTGAATTAATTAGTGAATTTTAAAGTCGTTAAACACATCGTTCTGCGCGCACGATTTTAGAACATTATCCCACACCAACCCAACCCCCCAAGCCAATTGTATTGAGATCTTAATTATTACATCTGACTCGTTCATGATTTCTAAAAGGAGGGGAAACAAAATTTTATGGGGATCCAATATGATTTTTTAAAAAATTTCTTGGGATCCAAATTTTATGCTGCCAAACCAATTAGCACAGTGGTTTTATACCACGTTTGGTAGCACTGATCAGCTAGCCATTCTTTTTAAGCGTCGATGTTAATTTGGTCTATTTGACTCTGTATTTGACTCTGTATTGTGGACGTAGAAATCCTACCAGCAGATCGATCGAGTCTCTGGTCTATTAGAAAAAGTATAAAAGAAACATCTTATCACTATTCGGTCAATACTGCACTTTATTATCCTCTACTGTAATTAGTAATTTTGGAGTCGCTCTCCGGCCTATTTATTTCGTTCAAAACTATTTCAAGTATTTAGTCATTATAATCATTTTTTGTTTCTCGTTTGGTTTCTTTAAAACCCGTATAAACTTTTACGTGGTTTCGTCTAAAAAACCAATTAATAAGAGAATAGTATTACATGAATCTTATATGTTAGTCTAATTGAGTTATAATTTTAAATGTTAGACAGGTGTCTTTAAATTCTTTTCAGGTTTAAAGGGAAAATTAACAGAGTTTATATGAAATTATTTTTTTAAAAAAAAAAGAATTGGATGAAAAATTATTTAAATTAGTTTGTGAAAATGGAATTTGAAATGGTCGCTTGTTGAAAGGGCTCCCTTGTTTAACGGAGAAGATACCGTCAACATGTCCTTAATTAGTTTTCAATTTATTTATCCAACAAGAATTACGCTTGTATCACAAAATTGCTGAAGTTTCTCTTTTCCGATCACAAATTACTGTCAAATACTTGTGAGCATCGGTGAAGAAGTGGTCTTAAAGTTTATTAGATTAACCTTCAAAGTAAATAAGTTAAGATTTAAGGGTATGTTTTTTCTAAATGGATCAGAAAAAAAATTATTACTAAACCCCTATTAAACTGATAAAGTAACATGCATCATTGTAGCGTTAAGTAAAGAGTCTAGATCACCTATATTTATGTAGGACCAAATCAAGAGACAAAGCCAGCACATCAAGATAATGTTCTAATTTCATAATCGGACAGCTTGTGATCGTGGTGGAATTTGTTTATAGTGTATATGAGATGTCATCACCTACTCATTAATGCAGTCGTACTTGTGTGTGTATAGTTTTAATACTTACTGGAATCGAATATGATCATTTCTCTTGTAATCTTCCTTCACCTTGATTTCAGGATCAAGGAAACAAGCTTCATCTATGCAAGTATGCTCAACTGGTGATTAAATATTCTATTCCAGTAGATATACGGTATTACCACATAGGATTGTCCAGCATGACTAATAATAATTGAGTCAACATTGTGATTTTTTTGGTGAAAACGAGCAATAAGATATACTCCCTCTCTCTCACAAAAATATTCCAGTTTAATAAAAAAATTTTCCCCAAAAAAAAGTTCAGTTTCACAAAAGTCAAAATTAATTGAATTGAAATGACTTAAATATCTAAAAGAGTAGTGGTAAGCAAAACAAAGTTCATTTCCTTTGATTTTCATTTTTTTTAAGGATTTATTTGTATCGTTTTTTTAGTATATGTTTT